GAGGAGCCGTACCTTGCGCGGCGCATTCGTTGGGGTCTCTATCAACCCTTTTTCCATAGACATGCCTGGAGGGAGGGGCGGGGTACGGGGGGGTGCCCATCCAGCGTCAGACTTCTATATTTGCCCGACGATCCTCACCCGAGCCAGCTCCATAGTCTCTCATCCCCCCCCCCACCCCCCTCGCAAGAAAATCTCCTCACCTCAGCCCAGGCAAATTATAAACCGTCGGCCTGGCCCTCCCCAAACAAGCGGGCACGAGCAGCGGGTTCGAAGTCGGACGCCCCGACGACGTGCAAGCCTGCACGTGCTGCGCGGGTGGAGGCGGCGCGAGTGTGGGTGCGACGTCGTGCATTTTCTTTTGTTGGGACGCGCTTTCCCCTTTTTTCCGGTCTGCTTTCTGTCTTGGGCGCGTGCCCCGGACGAATCGTTCGCCGTTCCTGACGGCGGTCCCGATTTGTGTTTGGGGGCGGAGAGCGGAGATAACTTGGAAGGGTGGGGCGGGGTGGTGATGGGTATTGATGCGTGTGCTTTGGAGGGGAAGAGTTCTTTGGTGGAGGTGAGCTCGGAGGGAAAGGATAATGCGGGGAGGCGATTGTGGACGCGGCTCGAAGGGGTGTGGAGGGGTGGCGCTGCGCCGTGGCTTAGGCTCACGACCAAACAAACCGACGCCAGGCGGCCAGTCCCCTCATCTTCAGTCACGAACCCATCTTGTGAGATGTCGAACAGCATGCCCATTGCCTAGGCAAAACAGCACCTGGTCCACGAGCGCTGTCTCGCTCCGTCTCACCCAATTTCCTGGGGAAAACGCATTCGACTCCAACGCACAACATTTCCATGCCGTCGCGCCTGCAGCATGCCGCTCGGGACGGTTTCTCTCGTTCGTGGGTGAACAGCCTCGGCGTCAAGAGAGGCGCACCCAGCTAGCGTCAGGCCAGAATACCTTCTCCCCACCGCTCACCCAATCTGCGCGACCGGCACGCTTCATGTTCGGGGTCCGCATCGCTCGCCATTGCCACCAAGCGGCTCTCGGCGCGATAGGAAACCCTCCTCCACCCCAGCCCGGGCAATAGTAGCAAGCTTCAACACTGAAGGGATATGCTCATGCAACTTTCCCGCAACCTACTCCTCATTCCGTCTTTTTGCGCCGGCACTAGCCTTGACTCGGGTGAGATTCCGGGAATGAATTCTGCCAGACATGATGGTCTTTGGGCGTGATGCAGACCCGCTACAGAGGTGTTGCCATCCAGCACAAGACAGGCAGAACGAGTGCGGTGCAGAAGTGTAAATGTACCAAAACGGGTCTTATGATAAGTGATGAGGTTCCTGAATTCACGCCAACATCCATCCGAGAAGAACCACTTGATCCTGTATTCATCATCTCTCTTCAAGTGCAACCACTGCGTCTGTCCCACATCCCTCGCCTATCGCTGGAAATGCCATCAACAGTGGGGCAGTCTAAAGGCTGCGCTCGATGCGGGAGTGTAGAGTGGGAAGTCGGCAAAACATGGATTCTATCTCAGCTGTCATGTAGAACAATCCAGGATTGAACTGGGGTGACGGACTTCGCTGCTATGCAAGGCGAGTGATCAACAGCCAGGTCCTTATAGTCTCTCTCAGCTCCCTCTCTGTTGGCAGAAAAAGTAGTCTCACCCCCAACGCAGTCAATGTTCGAGACCGAGCGACCCTGCACGAGCAGCGGGTTCCATGTTGGGCGCCCCCAAAAGCGCTGTCGACGGGCGAGCCGGATTGTGCTCCGCCGGCGGTAGGAGTGGCGGCAAGAGGATAAACACCGAGTCGTGCCTTTCCGGGAAGTGCGAGACTGACAACAGATTGGTGATGTGTCTGTCTTACGGAGTCTTCCGTGATGGAAGTGGAGGTCCCCAGTTTCCAAAAAGGCTACTCTCAAAAGCATTCCCCACCCGATTGAACCCAGAAATGAAAGAAAGAACGGGGAAAAGAACCAGGATGAACAAAAACGATGACCTACAGGTTGAAACAGGCTGAAATGGACTTGAATCAAACCACCTCGCCTGAGCCTCGCGCTATTGGCCGGGAGAACAAAACCATCCAGCAACTCAGCTGCAAACCCTTGTAGTCGCACACACAAATCTCGAGAAAGCGCCCTGCGGCCTTCAACCACTGTAAATTGCAAGTCCCCCGTTTCCCGCGGCATCCAGAAGGCGGTTGGAAAAGAGGATGCCCAACTAGCGCAAGGAGTATTACATGGATAACGACGCCATGGATTTGAACCCCAAAGTTGAGCGGTCGCGGGGCCTGGACTTTTGTTCCTGATTACCTGCACATCTTGGCCAACAAGCTCCACAGCCATTGCCTTATCAGGGTTCCTTCAGCCCCACTGGTACCCGAGGCGAAGATTGTGGCAGGGCGCCGGCGGGGCACTGCTTTCGAGGATTCCGCGCGCTCGGTTCATGTCCCGTCAAGGGTCCCGTCGAAGGTTCCTTTGAGGACCATCTCTCGACTCCCGGTGAGCTCGCGGCCTTGCGTTTTGGACTCTTCGCTCACCGCTTTCGGGACATTGGAGAGGAAACAAGAAGATACAGAAGAGGTCCAGTCTCGCTCAATCCCGGTACATACCCTCATGTCCGCGGGTGATGCTGGATGAGGCAGACGAATGGGCGCGGCGTTGCCCACAGATTGTCTTTCGTGACATGAGTGGTTTCGGCGGAGGGGTTCTACTTTCGGTTTGGGGGTGGAGAGGGTGGGTTCGACTCTGGTGGCAGGGCGTGGTGGATCCCGGTATTGATGCGTGAGTTTGGATGGAAAGACCGATGCTGGCAACGTTGAGGAAGAGGTGCGATGATGGGCCGGGCTGCGCCACGGCTTGCAGTTGGTAATCTTGCACCATCACCTCGTCCAAACACCAGGCCTTTTGCGTGGCAGGTCTTTTCCGTCACCGGTATGGAATGGTTTTTTTTTGTCCGCCGGGCAACCCCCGAGAAAAGGTCCGTCGCGTCTCGCTCCATCCACGTATGTCGGAAGCCCCTCCATCCGCCGATGCGCGCTATCCGTGGGCTCGCAGTTGGGTCCGCTTGACTCGCCACGGCCGCAATCAGCGCGATCGGAACCCGTCAATGCCAGAACCCAGCAGCAGTAGTCCTCTCAGTCCTCAAGTGAGAAAATGCGCACGGGATGGTCATCGGACTTGCGGGATGGACGCCCCCCACAAGAATCAAATGGGCAATTTTCTAGGGGGGGGGTGGGGGTTGTCTGAGACCAGTCAACGGGCTACCTTCCACCTCAACACTAGTCCGCTCAACCCTTACATAAACTCGTAAAGAAAACGGAAAAAGAACGATGACATGAAATAGTTACAGGATGTTGCAAAGGACTCGAACCAAACCGCCTCACCTCGACCCTCGCGCGGCGCGCCGCTTTACGTACGGCCTCAACCATCATTTGGGTCGCTGACTCACTATTCTCAGCACACCGGGGCACCGCACTTGACGAACCCGTCCCGCGGCCTTGCAACCGGGCTCGAAGAAAGTGGTTGTCCAAAAATAGTCTTATCTTGAAGTGGGAATGAACGACGATGTGGTAGGTACGCAACTCAGAGTGCACAGGTCGTCTGCTCCCAAGCCTGGGCATAAGAGACCGTCAACCGGCTGCGATCTCCCTCATCCCATCACTTCGGGGAGTGGCAGAAGGTAACCGGTGTTTCACACAACAGTTCCTCTAGATTCTAAAAGCAGGAACCATCCGGGATTGAACCGGAGACCTGTCGATCTGCAGTCGACCGCTCTGCCGCTGAGCTATAGTTCCCTACAGTGGAGCTGCAGGCACGGGCTATGTACCTGGCCTTTCGAAATCATTTTTTTCATCATTTGACTCTGTTCCCCTCTTCAAAAGAGCCCCTCCGACCGTCGAACACGAATATTTTCTACCCCAAAGGCCTTCAACAAAATAATCCGCTATTACAGACGCAGGGGAGGGTCGATAGGCGTCAGGAAACCGTTTAAAAAAGAAAAAAGGGTCCCGTCAGGCGTCATCGGATTTTTTCCATTCATTTCGCTAGGAGAGGGGATAGGGAGGGCGATGAGCCAATGGGGCACCGCGGAGGGATACTGCCCCCCCTCTTTCCTTATCACTGACCTTTTCGACGACCGTTAACCCATCAGCCAATCCTCTGCAGCGGAGGGTTCCGCAAGAAGGGCAGTCGAGGGTTTTGAGGTAGTCGGTGAGGAACCGCAGGGTTGTGTCGAGGTAGGCTGTGATCTGCGGGGGTGGTGATTTCGGGGGGGGGGGGGGGGGGGGGGGGGGGGGTGGGTGTGGGGGGGGGGGG